GTTCCAGAAAGAGGTTCAAATGCCTTTTCAATCATTAAATGTAGAAGTCATGTAGTTTGATTGAGGATGTTAAGAATGTTTGGTTTATTGATTAAATCAGGATTATTGTAGTCAGAAAACGTAAAGATTGCGATAATTTTATGAACCTGTCATTATGTTATTGCTAGGTTTTATATGACATCGCAAAATTCTAGAGGTCAATGGGGAAAAGCAAAATTAATATTGTTAAAATGCAGATTTTTATTGTACTATACTGAGTTCTTTGGTTTAGTCACTAATAGAAATGATCAGGTTCAACATTCATGAATTTTCCTTTTTAGATATTTCATGGCAAAGTAGAACGAATAGGAAAAAAAAATGTCCCTTGTCCCCCATCTGAGAGTATGACACCATCACATTTATAATCTGAAAACCAGAAGTTGATATACCATGTAACCCTAGTCCTACAAGAATCACTCTTGCTTGTTGTTACTGTGGTGACCTCATAACCCACAGTTGCACACATCGACCCTGATCCAGCACAGCCTCCTCAGGTCCCATGACAGGGTATGACTATGGCTGACTGAATGGATGACTAGCTCGTGTCTGAGGAGGGAGGCCCCAGCTAATGTCGCACAGACCTTTTTTTCAGACTTGTTTTCATGTCCGGGACTTTTTGTTGTGGCAACCGGTGGCCTGTTCCATCAAACTATAAGACACCCACTAATGGCCAGATAGTGTAACGTAATGAGATATATTGATAGGGTAGACATGTACAGTTTTAATGAATGATCTTTGGACATTAGTTGGAAGTATTCTGTTGCAAATTAAAGCTTAATTAATTATATAATTAATTGGATCTAAGGAGTCTGCATTAAACTTATGTATTTTACAAGTATTGATTTACATATTTTTATAGCGCAAAAATACCTTAGAAAACAGTTACTAGGAGCGTGGTCAGATCTAACCAGAAACATGACCCTAATGCCATAGTGTTGAACATTCCAGGCAAAGACGTACTTACCATCTCAAACAAAGACAAGTAATGGTTTCAGACCTGAAAAGTTATTGACTGCATCTTCAAATAATGACTTGTTCAGACAATATTAACAACAACAATGAATAATATAATAATATAATGAATGGTTTATCATTTACTGTCAATGTTCTTTGCCACTTAGATTAAAGTTTAACAGCTCGCGTCACACCTTTTGTGCAAATATTACAAATGCTTTGCTTCGGGAGCCTCAGCTCACAGGTTTTATTGAGCTCTTTATCTAATCAGCCGTATGGACCTTGAAACTAAAGCCTAGAATTCCTCTGAAGGAAGGAGGGAGTGGGTCAGACCAATGAGTAACACAACAAACAGAGAAGAGACTCTTTACAGACATGGGTGCAGTTTACCTGTTGGCAGACATCTGTCATTGTGTTATCTGCCATAATAAATGATCATTGACATATTGTGTTTGTGCTCTGTACCTTTTATTTGGACTAGTGGAAAACTTTTTCTTATTTTGGTAGTATATCAAGTACAAGTCAAGTCTACATGATTTCTTAATGAAGCTAAATTGAAAAGTTCAGCATGTACATTTCATTAATTTAAATGAAATTATTACCTTAGCCTTGGCCAAGAGATGGAGGCAAGGTTTGTTTACTCTCAGGACAGAGGCAATATGCAGAATTTCTAAAACATGCATCAGTGCTTTTATAAGGAATCTTTGTCGGCTACCACCACCTGCCAAACTTACAAGATCGCTAGTTTGCAAACTTTTTGTGTCTGTGTTTGATGCTGTTATTTTCCTCTGCATCTACACCTTAAAACTTCTCTCCTTTATTATAAATAATTTAGTAACAATTATTTGAAAGTACAACACAAGATGAGTTGAGATTGCGTGAGCATAGTAGACTCATTTACAAAGTGCAGCAGTCAGGTCTCTATGCAAACTGACTGGGCGAAGACAGCACCAGTACAACACACTGGTCATTTTTACTTCTTCCCTGGGAGTGCTTGCTGTTGCATAAGCACAGGCAGGATGCAGGAGGAAACCTGATAGCCAGACAAATAATACTGCAGAGGTGAGAGACAAATTAAAGCAATTATAGTGTGTGAAAGGAGTTGACATGTTCAAGCCGCAGCAGCCCGTGAGTGGACTGCAGACATTTGGCTAAATATGGATGAAGTCACAAAGAGACAAAAAGTTAGTGATACAACAGTTTACATTAGTTTTAATTAAAAGAAATAATAATAATTTAAAAAAACAGTAACGTTGCAACATTTTGTAGCTCCAGGTGGCATCATTTCCACACTCTCAGTCATCTGTGACCAGCTCAATCTGTTGTATGTAAGCACAAAGCAGAGCTAGAGGACAATGTATATAGTCCATTGACTTGAAATGGAAAACCTGTATAATACATTTTCTTAAATTTTATGGAAGTACATTTTCTCAGTAAAACCTGATCTCACATTCATAGAGGTTCTGAAAAACTGAATAATAGAAATGCATAATACCGCTGTTGGCCTTCAGAGGAGACTTGACTCTCTGAACCAAGGATGTGTGACCCACTGTACTTGCCCCAAATGAAAAAGTAATTGGTTTTTCAGGGAATGGAGTCAAGAGTGAATAAGTGACATCATGTTTGGTATTTAAGAAATGGATAAACATATTGAGAACAAAACTTTCTGTATTCTGTCAAAACTATATATAGAGCTGTTTAAAATGCAGTTACCTAATCCTGTATAATTAGAGCTGAGACATTTTGGAAAAACATCCAATTATGATTGTGACAGGCATTGCTCTTACAATTTGATTAGCAATTTCTGTTTAGATAATAGTATTCTGTTCAAAGTTCACATTTTAAACATAGCCTTTAAGATTGGATAGAAAACTGAAATATTATGAACAATATAAACAGCTAAACTAATCCAGGAATCCCATGCATTGCAGAGCATGTTTGCAGAGGTCTGAGCAGGGTTAGCAGCATTGTTTTCATGATAAAACAGTATAATTTGTTGTTAGCAAAAATAATTACGTAAGCAAAATAATTACAGTCCTTGTGATTTGCTAATTGTGACTATTCAAACTGCAGTTTCCATTTGATTGCATTATATCTTGTAGTCTTATCACAAATGCTAGTTAGCAAAGTTGCCTGTGTGGTAAAGGAAGGAGTTGCTTTGCAGTCTGAAAAAAAAAAAACTGTCTAAGAAACTGTCTAAGCAGTCATGTAGGATATAAAAGTGTTCCATATATTCCTGTAGCTCTGTTTGTGTCTGCTTAGGTTGTGCAGGCTGTACTTTGTATATTTTGGATGTCAGTTAGCAGTTGAAGCTAACAGAAAATACTGCTTCTTGTCACAACAGTCTGCAGATACTATCACTGCTGCAGACAGTAGAGATCCCTCCTCAGAGTGTGCTGGTATTTAAAGCCACGCTCCATTCTATTGATTTCTTTCCTTTCTAAAGCTGCTACAGCTCAGTTTCTCTCTGTCTCTGCCCCTCTCCTGTTTCCAGCCTCTCTGCCGTCTCAGGAATGCATTGAATGTCCTTATCTTTGCCCATGAAAACACAAGGGTGAGCCTGCTGCAGAGGTTGAATTCTTCTGCAGAGCCCAGGCACACACAAGGGCTTGTATGCCGACATGTGCTCTGCTTACAAGCCAAAGGAAACCACCAGGGTACAGAAAGTTACAGACTACATGTATGGTATAGCTTGTGTTTGAATACAAGCCTGTTTCAGATGTATGTAACAAATGTGTTAAAAACCGTGATATTGTACTGTTAAATACTTTCTGATTAAAAGGCAGAGTTGGCTATCAAACTTTTATGTAAGCATATTTATATTACTAATAGCCAATTTTCCAATTAGGATTGGGGAAAAAATCCCTGATACTAATTGGTATTAAAAATTAGTATTTAAACTAGACTTAGCATGTATTACATAATAGGACAAAATGTTTTTTTTTTTCTAAATACTTTGAAAATAGTATTCAATTATTGCTAGTATTCCAAATTGGAATAGTGTAATGACTTTAGCACTAAATTTGTCTTAAAATTTAGTATTGTGCACAAGACTAACTCCAGTAATAATTTTGCTACATGAGTAGCCTTTGTCAGCTTTCTTGTTTCCACAGTGTTTTCTTCACCCAGACTCCTTCTCACACAGGACAGGAGGGGCCATTGATACTTGTGCACAATACATTGTTAGAGGCCAAACGCATGGCATCACAATGCTGTTGAGGCTAAACACGCTGCCTCACGTATGCCTGTGCATAAAATTACACTGACAAGGCTCTCACAAAAGCACATCTGTAACAGCATTCACCCAGACGACACCAGCACATTGTTCACCACAAACCAAAGTAGTTTTTGCATCACTGAAAGTACCAAACACTTTTTGGAGCACCAGAAAATGGCCTTCTCTGTCATTGTATTTTTTTCAAATAAAACTGAAAGGTAGCACTTGGCACAGCAGATATACATGGTGTAATACAGGGGTCTCCAATCTTTTTTTTTCTGGTGAGCTACCTATTAGAGCCAGTGCAAACTTTAGATGGGGTACAGTTAGAGGCCTATGAAACATAAACCATTATCCATTTATGAGTGCACAAAATGATACATTTACAATGGTAATAGGCATTTAATTCATAAAATGTTTGTGATTCAGCACAATACGTATAAATGTATAATGCAGAAATCCCTTAGAGAGCCACTTAGAAGGGGGTGGAGAGCTTCTGGAAGTGCCTGAGTTGAAGGTTGGAGACCCCTGGTGTAATAAAATGTATCTAGTAGCGTAGATGGGTAATGTTTTTGACATTTAAAATAAAATTCGTCATACCCTACCATTTTAACACCTAAAGATCACTTGATGTAGATTGCTTTCTCTACTGTTAGAGGGAAAATAAACATGATTTAATACTTCTGTAATATTAAAATCAGTTTGAGTTATTCAGCTTTTATTTTTCTCATATTCCTTCCTTTATTTAATTTTTCTTGCTTATTTGCTTATCTCGTGCATTGCTGAGTTATTTAATAGATTTAGAATAGAGTTTGAATGCTTTTCCTTGATATTTTGACTAACATTCACACAATCCATTGAAAGCGTTGTCTCCCACACATTTTCAGATGAGACACATCTCTTTCACATCTCTACTGTATGAAGCAGGCAGACTGTAACAGGATTCATTTCAAGATAGCTTTGTCACATCCTATTTCATCCACTACATCTGCAGTTAGCACGAAGCTCCAACAATGGTTACACAGGATACAGGAGCCACAAAAACAGCCTGGCAGATGCAAAACCCTCATGACGTCAGTTTCCCGTGCACAACTCTACTATTTTGAATATGTTTTATAGTTTCCCATCAAAGGTACTACGCTCTGGCTATAAAAAGGTGCCTTCATCTAAGTAGGAAACTTTTAAAATGGTTTCCTTGTATTTCAACAGCCCCTAAATAGTAAAACACTTTATTGCACTGACATTTCAAGTCTTCCATTAATCTTTTGTAAATGAATGGGTGTGCTATTGTACATTATTGTGGTCTTCATTTCTGTGGTTACAATTAAAATAGTTGTCCTCTTATTATTTTATGTGAAAGTATTGGCTTAAAGTGCATAGGAAGGGTTAGACTACACATTTTTTAAACCTAGCACTTAATCTCCCACCAAACCAAGGAATAATTAGAAAAAACACAAAAACATGCCATATGCACTTCAAGTATCACCATCACAGACATGAGGCAATTTTGAGTCAATAATATCACAATAATTATTTAAATTGTGCAGTATAAATTAATATATTAGAATTAATTGTTAATGTTGTGAATGTTAACTATTATAGAATTGTACTTTGTTGTAAGTTTGGTGGTTGAAAGGCAATTGTCTTGATTATCAAAATTGTCCAAATGTACCATAAATTATTATTTAAACAGTGTTATTGTTTATTTTCCCATCCCTATCTACCAAAATGAATTTTTCGAGGGAATTCATATGACCAAAATAATTACCTGTCCTGGCTGAACACTAAATTAATATTGGTTTCTTCACAGGTCCTGAATGCACAGAAAGCAGGATACAAAGCAGCGATTGTTCACAATGTAGACTCCGATGACCTGATCAGCATGGGATCCAATGATTGTACGTCACTTGTCACTCACCACGTGATCTCCACATTGGTTGCATAGTTTCGTGTGATTGCTTTTGTGTTTTGATTTAATAGTCTCTTGAAATGTCCCATCCCAAGTCACATTGAGTTCCCCTGCAGCAAGACAACTCCACCCAACTTCAAATTCTCAATAATTTTTGTGTTGTTTCTGTTGGTCTTACTGTGGTCCTTTTTTGTCCTTTAGTTATTGCATATTACTATAAAATGTATTTAATTATTACATGTTAGGTCATTTTAGGTCCTAAGAAGAAGACAAACTACAAGTGAAAATAAAATAAACGCATAATCACCTTTAAAGTTGCATTATAATTTTTCTGGTAAATGGCCAACCTCTTGCTTGTCTTCATGCTGTATATTCTGGGTCACATTTAACTCATTGGAGATTTTTGTTTCATTCCCCAAAACTCATAATCAAAATTTTCTTTTGCAATTAAATATTACATAATGCACTTGCCTTAGCTTTACTGTGTGTGTTTTGTATCTCTAGTGGATATCATGAAGCAGATAGACATCCCATCTGTTTTTGTGAGTGAAGAAGCTGCCAACTCCCTCAAAGAAGACTACACATTTGAAAAGGGGTAAGTCATGTTTTAATTCAACATTTTAATCATGTGTTTTCTAGGGATGCTGGTTGGGCCAAGAAAATTGATGTAATAAGACTCTTTGCTGGTCATAGTTGGCCAAGAAGTCTCATTATGTTTGAATTTTTATTTATATAAACTTATTCTGTGATTACTTGAGCGATAAATAACACATTTGGATCAGCTTTGTCTTATTTTATTTTAGTTTAAAGATTAGTTTAAAGTAAATAAGTCTCTTCTGTGGTATTGGTTATTGGCAGATACTTAAATCTGTAGTATCAGAATTGGTATAAAAACTGAAAAGCTGGATTAGTGCATCCCTTGTGTTTTCCTTCTCCACAATGCAGCCAAACCTTTAATGACACAGCATGGCCTCTGTAATAGATCATATCAGAGGATGTGCCTGTGATGTGGTGTCACTTCTGTTGGAGAAATAATATGGTGATGAAATGTCCCAGCCTGTTAGAGCCTCATTGAATCAAAGTCCAGTTTCTTCACATCTCTGGCAGCTTGGTATGTGACACCATCTCACAAGTCTTTGGCAAAGCAGTGAATGCCAAACATGGCTGAGATTTGGTGAGGAATTAAATTAGCTAAAAGAACTAAAAAACAGCCTATTTAGATAAGCTGAATCACAGGTTTTTGGCCTGTTAATGGAGCACTATGTATCTTCATTTTCTGTGGAATCTGCCACCTGTTTGTCTCCATGGAGCTGTTATTACCTTGCTTGAAAGGTTCTTCAATTCGGCATTAAACTTGTCTATACATCTCTATGGAGGCAAGCAAGGGATACTGGGTCAAAAGTTTTCAAGGTATTTTGTGGTCATTAAAACTAGTATAATTTAATAAAACTTAGAAATATTTAATGCTACACTGTGAAACATTTCAGTGAAGGACGTAACATTTCCATGGGGCCAAGCGGGTGGTTAAAAATGGTGTTGAATCCTGACAAAAGTAAATGGTCATTAGACACTTGCTGTAGATCTCAGTTACACATCCTTTATGTTGTATCTCTATTTTAAAATATACTTAAACATATACGTTGCATTGTTCCTACAGCGGTCACGTGGTCCTGCTGCCAGACTTCAGCCTGCCCCTTGAGTACTACTTGATTCCTTTCCTCATCATTGTAGGAATCTGCCTCATCCTCATCGTTGTCTTTATGGTACATACTATTTCTGTTTTGGGTAGACAGAGCTCTTGGCAAAACTGCTGCACCACAGTGTTTATACTAGTATAGTGGGTTTTACTTGTGAATATACAGCATTTAGATGTGTGCAAAAAGATACTCGTACTGATTATCATGTCTTATTTTATTTTTAGATTACAAAGTTTGTCCAGGATCGGCGGAGAGCTCGGAGAAGTCGTCTACGCAAGGATCAATTAAAGAAACTTCCCATTCACAAATACAAGAAAGGTAAAGCACTAGTATAAAGAAGCAGTAGAGACCTCAAAACCATTAAACCATTAAAAACAGAGAATTTTTAATGACAAAATTAATGCATTAGTGGGTCAAGATTGTTAACTACAGATGCTCTACAGGAATGAGACCAGTAAGATTATTAAAAACTGATAGTTAGACTTAATGTTACCAAATGGTGTATACAAAGTATTATTTTCTTATCATTTATGCGCACTAAGTAGCTTTATACTGTCTTTAAGAGTTACACAGTGCACCTTTAAACATAGAAGCAGTGAATTATAGCATCATCAGAATTGCAAAATATCACAAGGATCAGATCATAATTACATTTTTATTGTCTTATCTCCCAGCCCTGGTTAAATAGTTTTATTTTTGTCTCTTTTTGCTATTTCAAAACTTTATTTCGTGAGGACTTGTAGCATTGCACTCCCTCACATGATCTGGCACAGTGTGGAGATGCCATCATTGCATTACGACACTTCATTCCTCGTGGAGCTGTGCACCTTGGAGCTAATCAGATTAATATGGACTTGATTTCCACCCAAAGCGCTCCTTGGCAGAGTAGAGCTCCTCTCTGTTGAAAACGGACACATGACTGACTGCCTGGAATGTACGGCGTCTCACTGCATTCACTGTACTCACGCTGAAGTAAAGTATGTTAAAGAAGGTCAAAGAAATATGTCATTAGGGATGCATAAATGATGAAATGATTCAGTCATTTCTAATCATCAATGATATATTTTGGTCTTTTAAAGCTCCTATATTAGGCAAATTGACTCCTGTGAGCTTTTAGCCATGACATAATGTTGTTACTAAAAATATACCTAGAGTTGTGTTTTGTTTCATTCACACATGCTTGAATAACCTTTTATAACTGGTCTGTCTACATCTCCAAAGCTCTGTTCCAAACTGTGACGCCATGTAGTGGTAGTTTTCAAGTTAACAACTACCTTTTACTAGGGATGTAACAATAACCGAAATATCGTTATATTGTATCGTCAAAAGTCTCACAATAATATCATGGGCTTTCACAATGTATCGAATTACAAGCTCCTTTGCTTAAATGCATGGTTTTATAGTAGCAACAGCGTATATACATACATATATATCCCATGATTCATTTGAGTGCAAACAACACAAAGAAATATATTTTATACTTCTTTTACTTTTAATTCATTACATTAGCCTCTCCAAAATATCACCATAAATATCGTATCGTGAGATGCATATTGTGATAATATCGTACCGAGAAATTTGGATATCGTTGCATGCTTACCTTTTATCTTTCTTTCAGTAGAAACTGTCAGAAATTGGCAAGCTAAAATCATCCAGATGATTCTAGTGAAGGTGTATGAAGTTTAAAAACACAGTGGAGGACTTGCTGTATTGCCACATGACATCAGAAGGTGGAACAGAGTGTTTTCACTATGGGCCCTTTATTGCAAAAGGTCTATGGTCAAACCACTATCAGTAAAAGCATGTGGAATTTGACAACTTGTGTGTTAAATGACAATGATTCAAAGTCTGTATTTATGCTCAAGAAATAAATATTGAAATACATTTTAATAGGACAAAATAAAATGTAAAAATGTGTGATTAGTCAATTTATGAGGAAGAAAAAATTGTATTTCCATATTACCCAGCCCTATATGTCACATACAAGAACTGACCAAAAAATAACTCTACTGTTAAAATAATTGGATAGGTTTTCCCTGTAGAAAGGTCAGTCTGGTTATTGTTTTGCAGTTCAAATCCTCGTGGTATGCTTAACTTTGTCTGCAGGACTTGTCTCTGCAGCTGTATTTTGCTCATTTGCACTGGAAAGACCCTCAGTCCAATCAGCTGTGTAGGATTTATATAGAGATCGTTCTTGTGAATTGTAAATGGCCAGTTCCAAAGCTGCTAAAATAAGTGATTATGTGATTTGAGGTACATAGCCGCACATGTGTTAACAGACGTTGGGTTGTTAATTTTTCATAGATTTGGTTACTCTGTGACAGGTTTGCAAACTGCAAACTCGGTGCCGAACAGTTTTCATATCCAGGAAGTGGCCCTTTGTTAGCACAGTCACAGGAACAAGGTGACGAATCCACTGAGTCACTCTAAAAATGAGGTGCAAAAGGCCTAAAAATTAGTGTTGACTATTATTTTACTGTGTTCTTTCTTTCTTTTTTTTTTTTCAAATTAGCTAATGTTAGATCATACCAAAGCACTCTGTAATCATAGTCATCACATTAGCAGTGTTGCTGTATTTCACCTTTGTTTTTCCTGATTTATGTGGCATTTAATACTTGTTCTACTTCCGATTGTGAGGTTTTTGGACTGCCTGGAGGTTCAGTGTATTGATGTGAGCCTTGCTTTGAGTGGGCAGGGAGCCTAATGCGCCTTGGCCTGTACTGCAGTGGGTGCTGTTGAGGGCCTGAGAGTTACAGTCATTACAAACACTTGGTCCTTGGATTAGATCAGTCAGACAAAAAGAGCTGCTTTCTGAAATAGGCGGTCTTAGCTCACATTATTCATTGATGGTGTGGTTAAGAAAAATGCATGATGCTACTTCTGATATAGATGATATAACTATTAATGAAAAATAAAATTGTCTTAAAAAGTTTTTCTGTAAGTATTGATACCTGCTCAAATGAGTTTCATAACTAGTCCTATGTTAATATAAGGATACTTGAGATGGGAGGGACACAAAGGGAGTCTGTATGAATGGAAATGATGAATGTTAATAGAAACCATGGTACCCATGAAATTGGAACACAATACCTCCAGTCTGAACTGCAGCCAGCAGCACAAGATCTGTGTCAGTGTGCGAGATTATGTAATCCAGCTGCCACTGCTGTCTGAGTGCACAACGCCATTTTGATGTTGGCTTAACTGCTTTTATTTCAGGGCCTTGCATCAGGGCCATTCACTTAGAGCTGAAAACTGATCATAGGTGGAGTTTGAACGTATTATCAACAGTCAGTAAAAGCCTAGTTACACATGTTAGACTTGTTGTTTTTGGTGGTGCTTCTTGGGTTCTCCCTGACCTCTTGTTTGGACCATCTCCTCCTCTGGCTCCACCTTTGCTGTGTTTGGGCGGGACAGTGAACAGAGCAGCTGCAGTGTGTCATTGTTTGAAAGGCATGCTGCTGTCAGAGGACTCCTCTGTCTGTCTCTGCTGAAGCTCTGCTACACTTTACTAAATAGTTGAAGTTCACTAGTTCAGTGTGGCTCCTTTGAGAACTGGACTGTCGGCAGCCTGCTGTAAATGAGAAATGGTATTCCAAAGATGTACACTGTAAACAGTACTAAAACTGAGTCAAAGTCACACTTTTTATCTTGTACAACTGGGCTTGTACAGTACAGTATTTACTCAAATGGGATCACTGTAATGAAATCACTAGCTGATTCCTGAAACGAGGAGTAAGTAATGCTCCTGGGAGGCGCTTTGATCAGCTCGACTGGCTTAATTTGTTCTCTGACATGGGATGACCAGCTCAGCCTGTAGAGTTATGGCTCTGCTGCACAGCTCCGAATGTTTCTCACCATTTGTTACTTATTGAGCTGTTTTTCAGAATACTTGACAGTTAAAAGTCTAAAAAACTATGCATATACCATATATCAGTAGATTTTATTATTATTAAACCTTTTACTTGACTTAAGAATTTTTTTTAAAGTCTGATCAACTTTGGTCTATGAAACAGCTGAACCTTTTCTGACAATATCTGTCCTGAAGTCCATTTTTGGTTATTGCTCATATGTCGTCCTACAGTTCTCTTGCACTAACACTTATTAGAATAAAATGTGCTTTATTATAAACGTTCAATTGCTTTTGGAGGAAGGGGAGGTAGGAAGTTTTTTGATGTGACTCCTCATCCTTATACGGTCACATGTGAGCCTGGCGCGGATACAGAGGGCCGAGTCAGGGAAAACATGGTCATTTAGAGCTTACATAAACACAAGGCTCGCTCCCTCTTCCTCCTGCCTCATACGAGAAGACGGGAAGGAGCGAAGAAGAAACCTTTGGAATTCCACAGGGAGTGTAGATACATTCCTTAGCTCAGTTTTTTGGTCTCCTACATTGTCCCAAAATCTGCTTCTGCTGGTTCTAATCTCAGTAAATACTTAAATGTAAGGGAGGGGACAATGCTGTTGTGGCCTTAAGAATTTAATTAATTTGAGATGCCACAAGTAGTTTTAACATGACTCATTGAATCATATTAGTTCTGAGCTTGCGTCACTCGTGTTCACATGACTTCATTATCAGACGTATAGTTAATTTATATAAGAAACACATGTAGTGGAAGTGGCTGACAAGTTGTACTGTTTGTGACCCAGGGGACAGCTATGATGTGTGTGCCATCTGTCTGGACGAGTATGAAGAGGGAGACAAACTCAGAGTGCTGCCTTGTTCCCATGGTGAGTTTATAGGTATCATTCACAGCATAATGATCAAATATTGGATATGGTTATAGTCAGAGTTAGTTTAATTGTGTCACATCCATGAAATAACTTTGTTTCTGCTCTCAGCCTATCACAGTAAATGTGTGGACCCCTGGCTGACCAAAACAAAGAAAACCTGTCCCGTGTGCAAGCAGAAGGTGGTCCCGTCCCAGGACGACTCGGACTCGGACTCGGAGGGGGACAGCGGTGCAGATGAGAATGAGGAAGTGTCTGAGAGCACACCTCTGTTGCGCTCTCTGGCCTCAACCAGCGCACACTCCTTTGGCACGATCTCTGCTGCGTCCCGCTCGGAGCAGGACCAAGAGTCGTCAGAGTATGACGAGGAGGAGCTGGACAGCAGCGACAGTGAGCAAGAAGTGACTGTGGAGACTGTGGTGGTGCAGATGCAGCGGGCCTGTTCTGAGGACCACGACCTGCCCAGAGCCTGATCTGGGCCGAACTGTCTGCCTGTTTCAGCTTTACACAAAAGACTTTGGGGGGCTTCACATGGTGGTGGTCTCCCACACTTTAGTGTATCATGTTGATTGTGGAATTGGTGCTGATGAGATGTCAGTGGTGTACTCTGTACAGTAGCAGGTCAGTACTGTATGCTAATCCAGGGGCAGAAGCTTCAGTTTCTACAAAGTGATTTCTGTACTGTGTATATATGAAATGTCTAAATCAAGTTGTTTGATTATGTTCTTAAATGCCATAAGGACACTGTAAATACATTTAGTTAACACTATGCAGAATTATTTGGGAAATTCAGCTCATATAAACATAAGACCACTGTAAATCGTTATGCCAACTCACCTGTTTATTTAGAGCACTGCTCCAGTCTCATGTGCCACAGGTTTACAGCTAAAGAGCCTAAGCAGCTCATGTACAGTCACCTTCACGTTTGGGACCCTCTACAGCGATTTGTGAAAACTGTCAGCGATGATGGTGGTAAAATATTTGGTTGCTCAAACCAATCACCCAATGTTGATTTATAGGCCTTATAACACATTAAGATTGTTTTATACAGATTGTATCTCTTGATTTACTCATGTTAAACCCTGTTGCCTTTGTTTTTTTTTCCAATCATGTAATCTACATCAATAAAAGATTTAACCCATCTAACTTTATTACAGCATTTATAGAAATAAAACAATGGCTACAAGCACTAAACCCTTCAAAATGTGGAGCATCCAGATGCGGCACTGAAGGATCCTTTAAGTAAATTTAATGAACAATTGAAAGCGTAAATTTGGATTCAAGATTCAGCCCCAATACCAGCTGTATTACTTCATTAACTTCATAAACCTGGACATTAAACTGTTCTCCTGCTGGGTGGACCGATTTGGAAACATCTGGTTTTAATTCTAAATTTGCCTTAATTTAAATGAAACCAGCTAATAAAAGTAGCATTGCAGATACATGGCTACTTCAGTAATTATTCGCAGTGGGAATAATTTAACATGCACAATATTCTAACCCATAGCAGTTAACAGAATGCATTTTATTAAACTAGAAAAAAAATAATAAACAGTTCACTGGTTGGAATAAATTTATTTTGATCTGTCTGTAAACAAGGTGATAAATCAATTTATGGCATTTCTTGGTTGATGCATATGGAATCAGATGCATTAAAGAGGCTGTATCCCAGATGTAAGAAAAGTGTTGAGGAAAAGAAATTAACAAATCAGCAAACAGGACTTGAGTACACATATCCCACAATGCCTAACAGTGGAGCAGAAGCCAAAAGAAAAAAAAAGTGCCAATGAAAGGTGACAGTGGGTCCATCTTACAATAACAGATCTCTCTACTTTATGGCACAAGATACACAGGTTCTGCAGTTAAGTTCAACAAGACATACATTAGTGTCATTGTTCCAACCAATTGCATCTTCAGTCATTTCTACTTTTAGTGTTATATATTGTGGACTCGCATTTAGCAGTACTGAGCATGGACAGATCATGCGATACCCCACTTCAGTCAACTAGAGTAGAAGGCAATTTATTCCACAGTTTTAGAGTTGTCAACATAGCATGGTTTTGTACAAATGCTTTTTAACAATAAAGAAATAAACATTGAAATGACTTCTCCCACCCTTACCTCCCCTGTAGCTTCATATTTTAACCATGGTACAATGCCTGGTTAGTTTCCTTCAGAAAATAAAAGGTAGTAGTCAACCTTCACATGATTTGGAGCATTTGTAAAAACACCCAACTAAACTTGGTCCAATAAAAAAAAAAAAAAAAAATTCCAGATGGATATAAGGTGGGATATCTACTGTCCAAAAATGGCAGCCTTCATAAACAATAACATTACAGGAGCTGGCAAACAAACTTATTAAGTGCCTGAGCCTTTAGTACTGTGGAATGTCCAGGTCTGTGGTTCTGACGCGGGGCGGGCGAAGCTACCAGCATCTTAACGAATATGTAATCGTTTCCTGATCTGATCCAGACACCATCAAACCCCTATGTTTAGTGTTATAAGAATGGGAGGGAGGGGGGTACTTGGACTTTGTTAAAAGGGAAAACATGGGGAAATTTGGCAAAAAAAATGAAAAGAATCGTTAGCTAGTGTTGAAATGACCAGAGATATGTGTGGTCTCACCTTGCAGAAAATTAAATAGGAAGACATGATGAGTTTCCACATAAGTACTCTAAAGGCAACAACTGCTTAAGAGGGAGGGGGGTAGGGGGAAGAGTAAGTAAAGGGCAGCATGACTAAAATATATTCCTTCATTAATAGAATAGCCTTCATTTCAGTGTATGGCCAAAATCTGCTGGTCTGAGTCAAGTATAAATGTTGACATCCTGTTTAGCAACATGCACACCTTTTCTATGGTTTAGTGCTTTAAAATGGGGCCAGGGATACACAGCGCAATTGTTTTAAAAGGGGATGGGATGAGGGTGGGTTTGGAAAGGGGAAAATGGTTGGAGATTTCAAAGTAAAAAAATAAAGAAGGCAGAAAGAAAGGACTAACTAGAAGTCGTGTGAAATGCAACAGGGTGGTAAGGGTGAGCTGCTAGGTGGCTGGGAACAGGCTTGCTTTTAGTATCCAGACTTCCTCAGGTAATCGGCCATCTCATATGTTTTCTTGTTGAGCGACCCTCCATGGATACCTTCCTTTCCCATGACAAAAACCAATGCTGGAGTACAAAGGAAAAAAGCAAAATAAATTGACATGATGACAGCACTGTTGGACAAATCATATCATTTATAGCCACTTTAAATCAAGTGGAAATACACGGGGCATATTTTAAACTGCTGTGTCAGAAATGCTGCTGGGACTTTGTTTAAACAGGACAGCTTTGGGGCAAACGTGGGCTTAACAGTTATTATTTTCATTTTTTATTTGATTTTTCAGTTTTTGTGTTTTTTGTTTTGCTTTTTAATTGTTTTTTCCCCTCGACTAAACCAACCCAGGACTAAAACCCTGAATCCCTCAAATATTTTGCCATTGAGTATGCCTTCTTATTCAATCCGCCTCCATGGACCCCTTCTTTGCCCATTACCAAGACCAAGACTGGAAGAAAAGAGACAGAAGGAACATTTAGAAGGAGAAGATCACAGTGAAAAGACCAGAGCCACAAACAGCAGGTGAGCAGCTACAGAGGAGACCTACACAAAGCAAGGCACTAACTTAAAGCTGAAGGTTGGATCTATAAACTGTCCTTCCCTAATCAGTGCTGCTGGTGGTAGACAAGACATCTCACACAGAAACAAAGTGAGGACAGCAGAAAGGGAGAGAAACAGGAGTCTTCTTTGTGAATGAATCAAGTTGAAAATATAAAATTCAATTGACTCACAAATAGGGCTAGGCAACTAATCAAATTTGACTCAAGATTCAGTAATTTCCAAATCATCAATTATCAGCTTGGGTCCTTTTTGAGAGGTCTACCGCAAATCCTCGGTCAGTATAGGCATGTGGTTTGGAGCAGAGAGGAGCAGACTTTGGAGGACTAAATTTGACTATTATTATGTTAAATGGTAATACATAAGAGTCTTTTTTAATGTTCAGCAAATATAAAAAGCCATTTATTCTTATAAGACAATTCTTGTGCATGCAAGCAATCATCCTGCCCTACATATAAATTAATGCGATATTGATTTACTGTAAATACAAGAACGGATTTCTGTTACTTGAAATGGCAGATATTTTAGTGTTGAAGTGAGATTTCTCTGTAACATACCAGCAGCAAGGCAATGCAAGAATCTACTCACTATTGAGACAACTACCAAAGGGGTGCACGTGCAGGTTATCACTGCATGCTTGTACCTCTCCTCAATACATGTCAGTGTGTGTACTTATCGTTAACAGTGGATATGCAAGTGAGGGAAAGATATTACTTCCAAAGTACACAGGCGTGTTAACAAAGGGAAGACACTGCATGCAGTTTAGGTCATTCTGTGAAAACCAAAGAGGCCAGAACATGTTAAGTTTAAATTGTAAAGGACAGGGCTGGGGCCCAGAAAGGCAATGTGATACGGCATACAAGTCTACAACTGAACCCAATATTTTCCATTAAATATAACTTCTAAAGCTGAAATAAAACCTTACTTATTAGACAGTTTAACTGTTGATACTACAAACAGTGCAATTGCAGTCAGATTCCATACACTCTGAATAAGCAATTATTTTGAGCCCAGTTCTAAATTAACTGCGCCATCCTGTAAGACCTGTCAAGGTAAGAACATTTGTGTTCATCATATATTGAGGAAAGGTGCATCCAAGATCTAACCCACATGCATTAAGATAGAAGTACTACAATTCAGCAGACAGCTATGCCAAAGCAGCCCACAGCTTCTACTACCTAAGCAGCACTACTTCAGGCTTCTCTCTGCCATGTGTTATGCTCACCTTTGCCGGCTTTCCCTACAGAAATGTTGTATGTTGGCTCTCCTCCTTGACTCTTCGTCCGGATGTCCATTGTCCAGTCGGCATCAATTTGGAGGCTGTCTCTGATTACGGAGCACTTTTTACTGCCTAGGGTCAGCCCACAGGTGAAGAAGCCCTCCCGGTCCTTTCCTGTTATCACGTCAATTTCTTCAGGCTTTAAAGAGACAAATATTATTTAACAATAGATAAAATAGAAGGCATACAAAAATGTCCTGAACAAATACAAGTGTTTACATGGAATATCTAGATTATGTACAATATTTGTAAGTCAAATCCAGTCAAGGACAGCACTCAAGAGCCCTGCATGTCAGTAAAGTACTGTCACATTTTTCTCCAAAATGTAATGTAGGCAGTGAATGTGCCAAGAATTGGAAATGTATTGTATATAAATAAACTACAGTCAAATATTCATTAACAAGCTGTCAGATCCAGTTTGTCTCTCAAACTAATGATGTACTGCAGTTAAATGGTTAAGCATCACTGTATTGAAATCTCAGAGGCCCAGTGAAGCTGACTAAAGCGTTATGCTAAGATGCTATAAAGGCATTGCATCATTGCTGTATTTTATCTTATTGAACGTGGAAGCATGGACACTTTTGACAGCAGAGAAATTCAAGTAAAACCAGTCACCAGAACAAAAGGCGTCGCCCCTCGGTCCAGAATTGCAGAGTCATAGCAAACAGCTCAGGCTTCATGCAGTGGAAGAGGTTAGCAAAGCAGCATGCTAGCAGCAAGGGAGCTTTTGCCCGTTCAATGGAAAAACGCCAAATGTACTCGGCAAGTCACGTCGCCAACGGGTTTCAATCAGAAAATGATTGAGGCCAGGTCAAGTTTTATTATACAAGACATTCAGGTTGACACCACAGGCTGAATATTAACAGATTGGTAACCATGATGCAAATTTAATGTTTTTTTTTTTGCCCAATCATTCAAGAACGCTTCACAAAACTCCTTTTATTGTCTAATAATTTATAAGTCAAACTCGAAGCTGAAAAAAATATTGGAAACAAAATGTACGTAATAACGATACAAAGTGTTGTCATGTTATAGCCTGTAATCCCCAATTAGAAGGGGGGGGGGAATCAAAGCTATAACTGTGACCAAGCCTTTTGACAAGCCGCTAGGTTGGAAGGCATGAATAAAAATGAATAAGGAGGACCGATCCGCCATCTTGAAAACGAGGGGCGGTAGCGGCAGAGCGATTCACAAAAGAGATGTGCGGACGGAAGGACTGATGCCTGAGTAGAGAGTGAGCCTGGGCCACGGAGCCTGCGCTCACAGCGTTACAGAAATGATCTGATTCTTCTGACGGGAGCGGCCCGATTAAACCTAGCACCAAGCTGCAGTTCTGCTAATTAATGTTCACATCACACTACTCAGTAATTGAGTCGGCATTTTTATACGAGAGATTGCCACAAAAAAAAAATGTAAATACACATGGTATCAACTGTATCTAAAAAACGTTATTATGGCCACCACTTGTACGAAATGTATTGTTTTGCCCTATTGTAGACTTATCTAACCGGTATTTTGAGCTAGTTTATGCTAACAAGCTAACTAGCGGTTAGCATTTAGCTTCGGCGTCCCGTTATGTGACTGGCCTTTTCTTTTTCATTGAACACTGCATTGTATTTTCAATCACATTTTGGCATCTGACGGTTTTACAAGTCTACCGAAAGAGGAAAAAAAAGAAGAATCATCAGCCGAGAAGAAAAGTGGTGTCTGCGTGCCGCTGGATACCATGTGTACCCCACTGCTTTCCTTAACCCCATTCAACCCAACGAGGCCTGTCTCTGCAGACACACGGACTGCACTTCATTGTACTTTTAGCCTTCGGTATACAATACATTACTGATATATCAAGTGTACTAACCGTGATGTTGGCAAAGATACCACCGGCATTCGATGCCCAGACGTATTTGGCGTCCGTGTACCCAACAATGGCCGCGTCCTGGCAGCTGCCATCAGCCATCAGGTTGTCCACGTAGCTTTGCCAGGACATTTTGTCTAATTAGTTCTAAGAGGAAAGGGTGCGATGGGTCAAGTTAGGCCGCTGGCGTCTCTTGAAACGACAAGGAAGCTGTGATTATCTGTGGTTTAACAGGCCTCCAGCAGATAAACCCCCCGGCTCCGCACGTCCCGGCTTTCTTCTGGTCTGGTCTTGGAAACGAAGAGAAGCGCTGCAACAGGACAGCCGCTTGGGTGTAGTCCTCCTCAAATCACTCCGCCAGGGTAGTGCTTTGCCCCAATAACGCACTGCAAAATATACCATGGGGCGGATGAATACTTTCTGATTGATTAAAATGGCAATGAGTGAAAGATTTTCCCAACAAATGTTTCCAACGTATGTAAGATCTATTTTGACTTACCTACAATATGCATTTTGGTTTAAAAAGTCATTAATAACATATTTTACAAGTGATATACACATCTCTCGAACAGAAACATTTAAAATGGCAATACCAATACTTTTAGAAATATTAATGGAAATACCTGGGGATAGATTTGTGCATTTGTTTTATTAATAATACATCAGATTCAAGTAGCTCTAAACAACTAAATATGCTTTACATTGCATTGCGAACCTCACTCTACTCTTCACACCTGGGGGTAATGGTAGCCTTTTCTGTATGCACATTTACTCTAGGGCGACTGAAACAAGGCTGCCAATCTGTTACATTGCCGCCCCCCCATCACCACCAACCAAATTCACACAGCGGCAAGGTTAAATCTTTTGCCAAAGGACACAATGGCAGTAGATGAACAGGTCTTAGTGGTTTTTGGGGATTAAAAAATCATTCACAATCAATTTGGAAGGAAACAAACACTGACCATTTTTTTAATGATAGCATTGTTCTCATTGAACATTCACCATTAACATGGTGAGACAATGCAAGCACTTTTGATGCAAACTTTAATATAGGGTACACTGATTGTGTCTATGACTTCTTTTATCTCTTCTCAGTTGCTTTAAATATTTATATGAACCAGGTATGAAATGGGGCACAGGCAGTTGCCCATCCTCAAAAATGTCTTCACTTTTTTAAAGTCCCAGGTTAGTAACTAATAAAGGGAATCAATAGCACCCCCCATAAAATGTCATGAAGGTAGGGAAGCAAAGGATTTACACTATGTTAGTCATAGTTCGATATGCCTTTGTCTCCACAACAGAAGATCAAAGATCCTGTTGCATCCAAAGCAGCAGTGTGGATGTGTTATGTGCTGATCCATGTCTTTATCACACTGGCCCTCGCAACCTAGAGCCCAGCTGTGGGGTGAGTCATGAATGTCATTCATGTAAGTCACACGATGCCCACAATGAGTGACCACACAGACTTTACTTGTGCAAGCACATAAAATGTATATAGGCATGCAAATGTGACAGTGTGAGTACAACTACAAAAACAGCAGATACAATCGATACAATTAAACAGAAAGTAATAAGCAGATGACTTTAAAATGTGTATGTTTTTCACTGAGACCAATAAAACTGAATAAAACTCAGAACTTTTGATTTGTGGATTGCAAATATCTCTTCATATGCACATGCCCAGTGTTGCATGCCCCTGGAATGAGTCTGCTTCGTTTCCTGTTTCTCTTTTGGGTTTGAACCCTCCCATTTTGTCTTACTCACCCAATAAAAAATGTAATAGGAAAGTGCATAATGTACACCCTCACAGACTTTCCTTAAAATTACAGAAAGAAAAGTTTTTGCCCTAATTTTCTGAAAACTGCTCTTCTTTGAGTATAGCAGTTTTAAAGGTCAAAGGTCAGAACATACATGCAGTGTTGTTCAGTGATCACAAGTGACTGTAAGCATAGTCCTTGTGCTGAGCGGCATATGATAATGTAGACTGAGTATAAAGCCCCACTGTTTGGCTCTGAATAGTGATGATTCATATAGAGAATGATGTGGTTCTCACAGGCCAGAGATAGTTTTATGGACGGTTCCATTTTTTCATGACTCAAATCTTTCATAATATGTGATCAGATTCTACTCCTAAACCATGTCCATCAATGAACATCAAGGCTTGGCAAATAGAATTCTTAGATCAAGACAATCCAAAATTCATGTTTACATATTGTCCAAGGACATTTGTTTCATTCAACCTTCTATTACTTCTGCCTAACAGAGGAATCGAAGCAGGGAACATGCAACTTTTTACAATCTTGATTTTGAATGTTAGTCATTTTGGCAAAAGTGGTAATTACTGAACCACAAAATCTATTTGTAACAGCATGTGACAACTTGGATTAATTCTTCAAATATGTATATTTGAATAAACATATGTCCAGAGTTCCATAAGCTCTACTTCAGTACTTCAGTATTGTGAAGTATACAGTGCAGTGGCTATGGCTGTCTACATTAGATCCGATTTAGATTTCATAGGGTGAGCTATTTAAACTATGCTTCAGTCAATGACACGAAAAAAAAACATCTATGTATGACCAGATGTTATTTCATTTTTAATTAAAGTAGGTATATTGGACCTGTGGGGTAACTAACCACAATTAATGTCAGTTTTCCCAAACAGAGAAAAGTAAGCATCTCATACTTGGCCCTTTTGGTCAGTTTGCTTAGCTTTTTGCACAATTAACTTGATTCCTAAACATAGCTAAATGTAGGTCTAAATATTTCCAGACACTTATGCTCAGCTATGAAAGCCTTCTCTTGTAACCTGCTGGCGCCTTATATTAACCACTAAACTGAACTAGTTAATATCTCCACTAGGACACTTCACCTGAATGAGCCAATAGAGAATGCCTTTAACCACCACCCCTTCAGATAGATTCATGTTTACAAGTGATATTTGAGACCAGCAGAATAAATGAACAGATCCAATAAGCAAAACTTACACAGACTGAGACACCTGTGATGACATGCTGCTTCTAGGAGCTGCTTCTAAATGAGTGCTTGACCATTTGCAAGTCAAAGTTTTCAAAGGGGAGCAGCTTGGTATCATATTATAACTTTCTATACATTTAACATACGAAATATAATTGTAGGCTATTATCTATTACAATATCTGTTTAACTTTCAGTTTGTTATGCCTACTATTGTGATTGATGCGGGCCTATTACTAGTGCTGCTACCAATACAGTGACCACAATTATTTTGAATAAGCTGTTTCATTGAATTGACAACCTGACCTTTGTACCTGTGTCGAACCCTGGATCATTTTGCTAGCTGCACCAAACTTCTATCAGGGTGTCAGAGTGTATCAGAGTGGGCCAAACCTGTTGCTCTTGAGGGAGAGCGAGGGGAGAGAGAGAGAGAGAGAGAGAGAGAGAGAGAGAGAGAGAGAGAGAGAGAGAGAGAGAGACTTTATTGATCTCGAGGGAAATTCAGGTTTTGTTGCAGCAAAGCAAACTGTTGCTGTTGCTGCCACATTTACATTGGGCATCATAGTCGCCTTGGTGTCTAAGTCAAAGGTCAAGGGGTGCGCGCAGAGTGCAGATTGAGGAAATGTCTATTTTGATTCAATATTGCACTTTTTTTTCCTAGGTGAGTAAGTGTGAGGAGTTACCCATAGTAGTTTTACTCCCAAACACACAATAATTAAATACAATTTGATAATGTATCTGCAGAGACACTTTTTACATTAAAAATATTCAAAGATTTGGCCCCGGTCCACTCATTTTGGCCCGAGAGGGGAAAAAAAAGCTTGAACACCCCTTTTTGTAGTGGGTGTAGGCCTACTGGCTTTCTGGGTGTGTTCTGACTGATAAAAACTGAAATCACATGGTGTTCTTTTACAGTTATATCCTCCATCTAAATCCAACTAAAAAGTTTTCTGAGAAAGTAAATACTGGTAACAGTCAACACTTGTCGTACTCACCCCAGTTCCATTGTTCATGTACGCCCCCTCGTGGCCGCATGGGTATACTACAGAGTTACTCTTTAAAAATCATAACCGGAGTGAGATCCAGATGGTGCTGTAATGTCGCTGGTGAAAGTTGACAGGTTCATGCAGGCACGACATCCCAAGAGAACAGGCCTACTGTGTCACCTTGCTTATATTTTCCCATACAGCCTATAGGGGATTTCAAAAGATGGGACTAGTCCAAGGATCAGGAACAAAGTCAAATCAATATGGAAGCAGTATTATAAAGACTATGGCACATTTAGTTATTGCAATGAACTGCCAGAGTATGCATTTATCTGTCCCCAATTCACCAATAACCACTGCCACTATGGCCCCCATTGGCCTATTTCTTCACTTCTCTTTTGTTTCTTCATCACATTGTTACATATAATTCCAAATTGGATTAATATAGTTCTGAGGAAAAGAATGATTTAGTTAAAGGATCATATGATAATTAGAGTACATCTTCTTTGAATTAATGTGTTTGCATAACCATTGTATTAAAATAATACAATCTGAAGCACTTATGTATAGAGTTGACATTAATATGTTAATATGAGAATGTTAGTATGAGAATACACTATACTGGCATTTCAAATAGCAACTGGACAATTTTAAAAACCAACACTGCTTTGGCGAAGCAGTAGTTCATCTGTCATCATCAGTCATTACTATTACTCAATAACAATAGTACCAATTCAATATACTAGTAATGATGTAAATTATATTATAAACACATGCCTAATGCATGCATATGGATTGACTTAGGTAGGTCATCCAAGGTGAAATATATGTAAATCATTATGTAAACCAGTTATTCAGTGGTGAAGTTACAACATTTTGGGTTATGGTCTATATATATATATATATATATATATATATATATATATATATATATATATATATATATATATATATATATATATATATATATATAGAAGGCAGCTTTTTCATAATGCAATGACATTTCAGGTCAAAAGTCAAGAATTTTTTGTGAGAATATTTTTCACACTCTGTGTCGATTGTTGTGCTAGTAGTCATTTAAAGTTTTGAACACTTGTGATTTATCCTTGACAGCTCTCATTTCACAAAGACAAATGCATTTTGCTTTTAGCTATATTTGTAAGGGTGGTGATGACCTAGTTTACAACTGAGGAGGCTTAATTAAAGGTTTCACACCATGGGATAAAATGTAAACAAGTTTTTTTCCCGTTGCATTCACAAACACTGTAGTTATGGCTGTGGGCACATTCTAATGATGATAATGAAAAACGAATAGAACATAAAATAAATGATAGTATTAAGAATAATTAGTGGGGACAAAACAATAATTTTAGAGTTTGCGTGTTTGAGGTAATGTCAGATAAAAACAACATGCAGAGGCCTTCATACTTTTAGTTCAATGGCTAAAGTGATATTGGACTCAATAAAAATAAAATACTTGAGGCTCAGTCAAAAAACAAGTAGAGTGTTGAAGTAGGTATAGTATAACATGCTGACAAATATTTTTGCAGGCCTACACAAGAAACTAAGTGAAGTACTGGTCAGTAACTGCTTATTGACAACCACCCCTTTCTTACAAAATAATGAGAGGACACAATACTGCTTGTAATTATAGGGTGTTAACAATAAAAATAAAACATCATTTTAATTTTCAGCTGTAGTTCAATTGGTGGTTTTCAGATTGTCAAATGTGCTGATGATGTTGTACTCCCAGAACAGCCCAGATGGGGGGAAGAGCCAGTTCCCTCTGTTGATTATATGGTATTCTCATTAGAAATATCTCAAAGGTAAATTTCTGGTATTGTCTATAGCCTTAAATTTGCTATATCGCAAGTTAAACCTGCAACAATATTAATTTAAAACATTATTAGAATATAGAATTTTGTGCTGTCTTCTGAAACCCAACAATCACTTGTCAATAACTGTGTTTCTGTCACCTTAATATTAATGCACATTTTGAAGTGGCTAGAAGTCTATGGGGAGCATATCATATGAACGCAATTGCTAAGTCTGGGATTCAGCGAAACGTTTTGTAAGAGGTTCTTGGTTAAGTTAATAACCTACTTCAACTGAAGTGACCTGAACTTGTTCCAGATTTTCAGTTTAAATATCAAAGGAAAGCAGAAAATATATGAGAACAGTGAACAGTTACACCTTCACAAGTTTGAACCTTATAGGACTAATATTACATGTTTTCATAGAAATTAGGTTTCACAGAAGGAATTTTATTTACTAAGTTGTTGCTAAACTGAGTCCCTAGATATTGACTTATGACAGTAAATCATTTCAATTTTCAACAGAAGAGAATGAGGATCAAGAGCAAGCTTATAGGCCTGTATTGCAACATTTGTTTTATTGGTTCTGTCTCAGCCTGTCTTACTGATACATTTCTTACAAATATACAAGTGCTTGGGTGTGTAAACAGTTGTTTTCATACGCATCCAAGATTGTTAGTCACGTTGTCTGTCACACGCATGCATGCACACCTACACGTACACACTGACACATACACATACACATACGTAGACACACTGACACAAGTGATCTAAACTGTCAACTGAAGAGAAGCCTTCAGGTCATTCCCTCTGTGGATCAATAGCCACATTCTTTATACTCAATGAAACGCATCACTCAAATCAAAACAAGGTTAATCTGTAGATTTTAGTGTGAGCAGCTGTGATTATAGTCTTTTCAGTCATAGGATTAACTGGCCATTGAACTTTTCACTTTTTTATTTGACATGAAATATAGTTGTTTGATTGCATAATTTAAGTAATGTTTACGTCCATATTAATAATTCGTACAATCCTACTGGATTGGAGTTATACAATAGAATTAAATGATGAAAGAACAACCTGGTTACACCCAAGATTGTGTACCTCAAGCCCTTCTAGGCACATGCTCTGACCTCTAGTGACCCCACAGTAAAGTAGAGAAGTTATGAAACAAACGTTAAACCCCAGCTACACCGCTAAAGGTAATATATCTAGTTACAATTTTCAGTATATAGTTACTGCTTTTTCAGTTCCAATCCAGAAGCCATTTTCAATTTGATAGCACTGGTTTGAAACTTAAAACAAATCTACTAACACCTAAGTAGATATACCTGAAATAAGAATAAGAATAAGAATAAGTACTTTTGCACTTAAAATAAAAATCGGATCCTGCTTGATTTAAGAAAAATAATTTTGTTACACAGATAATTTTACATGACAAGATATGCTTGTAATTTCATAACTTTTACATTAAAGGTGCACTGTGTAACTTTTCTGGTGTTTCATCTTGTTTCTATGGATATGTCAATGCTCTGCCTGGAATGTTCCACAGTATGACAGATCTATCAGCTCTATCTTACATTCATTCGTTTACAGGTGGTTTTATATCTTAAAAACAAGTATTCTGAGGAGGGTTGCCTCTCTGCAGATCTGACCTATAATGTGGTCTGGTTTGGTCTCTCTGAAGATATAAAGGTTTAGTATCATACTGTGAAACATTCCAGATAAAGCAACAACATTTCCATGGAGAAAAGCATTTGACGGGCTCTCCACCAGGAAAGTTACACAATGCACCTTTAATATACATAATAGTTCCTTGCCTTTTAAAGATAGATTAAAACTTAGATAAAAAGTGATGTATAATGCAGAACAGTCATAAGTGAACTATGCATGCCCTGTTATGCAAACACTCAGAGAATTTACGAGGTACTGAAACCAAACAGGCTGAACATGCAAACAGAAGCAAAGATAGTGCTACGAAAATACACCATGGTGACTTCTTGATTGATGCACATTGAACATCCCACAAACAGCCAATGTTCACAGAATATAACAAACTTTTAGTCAAACAGACATTTATGTGCAAATCTGAGTATTTCTGGCCCCCATGAATTGAAGCCACACGTGCAGATTTCATTATTCTAGTTTAGCTCTGGTCAACCAAGCCTGAAACGACCTCTTGTACCACTTTTCCCTACTCACTTTTTTAGCACGTGATGAGTGATTGTCGGTCAGTATATTTGTTGACCATGCCTGTCTGGCCACACGTTTTTCGTACTAAAAGCCAGAGGTCCCGTGGGTCATGGTGCTTAAAGTGACCACTGCACATGCTCCAACTTCCCACCAAAAATATAAACAGAATAAAGACTTATGTTGTTCAGGGCAGTGATGGTGGTAGAAAAAAAATAAGTGAGAATCAGTACCTTTAGACCATGATGCACCACAGGGCAGGCTTGTAGTCTTTGCCCCTCAGACCAATGTAAATAAACAATCAGCTATGCAAACATACAGGCTCATGTGGAGAAAACCTGGGCTACTAAAAGTGCTGCTAAGTATAGAGAGTCTATTGGCGTTGATGTTGCAATATTGTTTTTACAAGGTGTTGTTTCCAAGTATTTATGGGCTGGGGAGTTATGTATGCAGCGTGTAAAGTCTGTTGATAGTATGTAAAGTGTTTTTAGTGGTGATCCACAAGCTTCCTCTGTATGAAACTATACTACATATAATACTATTCTGTTAAAGGTGCACTGTGCAACTTTTCTGATTTTAAGGAAGTTCCAGGACTGGCAAGTTTGAGATGTTTGAGTTTGAAACTGATCTAACTACAAAAATACTGTTGAATCAATAATTTGTTATGGTAAACTCAAAAAGCAAACCATACCCACTGTCTTATCTAAAGAACCAGATGAATTGTTTTTCTGTGTCAGTGTGAGATGGCATCTGGATCATTATGTTACTTGGTAATTCAATGAGTTGTGTCAGTGCAATCAGGTCACAAAGCTATTTTTGTTTTACCAATTGCTAAGGTGTAGGCTAATCGATTCTTCCTCAAGTTTGATTATCTGTTTTCTTAATCTTTATTATTATTTTTATTATTATTATTTATTTTTTTTATCATGAATAGAAAAGGATTGAAATAGATTGAATACAGACCAGAAAGGTGTTAGAGAAAGTACATATTCTGCACTTGTTATTAATTAAATAGCCAAACAGATTGATTGAAATAGGCCACTGTCCAGTAGACTACATCATGGGGAACTTAGTGTGAGGGCAGACAGGAAATGAGTACTGTAAAAAATTTAACACATAGGCCCACACCTTCCGTTGTCAGTCAGAGGAAATGTCATGATGGGTCACCACGGCAGGGACACAACTGTTTCAAGAGTAGAAGTGATTTACAGCATATTGTAATTAGGCTATATTCTGTTGCAATGTTTTTTTGTACTTCTGTTAAAATACAGAGCTTTGTGGTTGTTGACACAACAATCACTCATCAACAGAAATGTGTAAATAGAAAAGGGCCATAAGTGATCTTATTTAATTGTGGAAAATCTTCTAACCTAGAGTGACCAGATTTTCAAAATCAAAAACTAGGACACACCCAGGTTGGGATGGTTGGTGTACTGTATATGTAATAGTGAAAAGAGCATGTAACTTTGTCCATTGTTAACTCACTTGTGAGTCAGTATATAATCTGAGGAACTTCTACTGGTGCATTTTTATTTTATTTTATTTTTTGCCTTATGGTCATTTTCAAGCAATGTTTTCTGTATTTTAGCTAAACAAATGATAATATAATGCCCCATATTTTTCAAAAATAGGAAAACGTGGGACATTTCTTGTATAAAACTGGGACAAATCACTGGGTTTGGGTGAATTTTCTGGGACATAAGGCTCAAAACTGAGACTGTCTCGTGTGAACAGGGACATCCAGTTACCCTACTCTAAGTCACTAAAAGTGCCAATGTAATTACGATTCTACTAATGATACTATGATACTATGATCACATTTTAACACGCCTAGGTCTCAGATTGTCCAACTCATCATGAGGCATAGTCGTCATTCATTTTGTGTGCTCCATTACCTCTAAATGTGTTCAAAGGATGTTCGTAAGTATGATCCCTTCCGCCTGATCCTGTGCCTACAACTTTGTTTCTACGCAAGACTAGAATAATTCATTTTGATAGATGACCTAGCCTATACAGACCTTTTGAGCCACCAATTATATTCACTCATTGTGTCATTCTCTTGAAAATCTAACTTTCAAATTAGTCTTTTGTAAACAAATTAATTTTGGTAATCGGTTCATACTTCACCATCCTAAGTCAAACTTGAAAATATTCCCTATCTTATCTTCACCTCCCACGCATTCTCACGTAAATAAAACTCTTGCCCTTTAAACGTGACGTAACGAATGACCGGAAGTTACGACGTGTCGTGTTTAAAAACTTTATTTTTTTAACAAGATGTTTTTTTTTTGTTTTTTTTTTTATATTCTAATCTCAGAATCAGTCGTACGAACAGTTCTTATTTGATTTGATTCTGAAAATACCTTTTAATACAATTCCCAGGGTGCAGTGCGCATTTGCCATCTTGAGCTGGGCTGAGTTAGCCCCGTTAGCTTCCTACTGCTACTCTCTGCTTCTGCTGCACTGGAGTGTAGTTTATCTGTCAGCTAGCCACTTCAAGCGAGCTGTCCACACGGCGAGACAAAACTTCACTAGATTCAAGACTTTCCCTCGATATATGGACTATATTTTCTCCCTGAAACGTCAAGGAGTTTATTTACACCATGTCTTTTGGCTCACAAGGTAGTTTAAAATTTACGGTATAGCCACATTAGCCAGCTACCGTTAAAGAAGCACCGAGGGCTGGAGAGGAGTGAGCAGAGGAACCGGGGCCCGCCTCAGACTAGAGTACCGGTGGCAGCTGCTGAACAAGGACTTTTACAAGGACCTGTTGAAAGTGCGCCGTGCTGATACGGAACAGACCGAGCAGACGTGAGAGGCAGGTGGAAGAGAAGTTTATTTCTCTTAAACATTTGTAGACTTTTTATTTACATTACCTACTTTCCTCCAGGTGGGGAGATGAAGAGAAACGTGAGTGTGTTCTGCGATGGTACGTGGCTGAGATCTCATCTGTAATTCGCTCCGTATTGCATTGGTTTGCGAGTGCTTTTTTGGGAGCTGGCAAACGCACTTTTAAATATGTCTACAATGCCAGCAAAGAAGAAAAGTTGCTTCCAGATTACAAGTGTCACCCAAGCTCAAGTAGCGGGTAGCACGATAATAGACGACACTGAAAGCATAGATGATCCAGACGATCCCCGAACAGATGATGTGTCCTCGGAAATCTTTGGTGTGTCCCGGACAGACCTGGGGGTGAGTGACTGCAGCTTCATTGAGGAAGGTCCTAACCACACTGGAGAGCACCTGAATGGGCCAGTGAACGGGATCCTGTCTATTAAGAGCATAGGCACAGGAGGTCGTAACACCCCAGTTAGTTTAGGAGGAAGTGTGCCCGTGCCAGCTGCAACTCAACCCATTGTTCCAGCTCCTACCGGTCAGCCTTCATCTGTCTCCAGCTGTAGCTCCCGCTTTCGCGTCATTAAACTCGACCATGGCACCGGTGAGCCTTTTAGACGGGGGCGATGGACTTGCACTGAGTTTTATGAGAAAGAGTCAGAGTCCAATAGAACTGTGGACAGTGTGAAACCTGCTGTGACATATGAGCACAACACAGACAGTGGGCTAGGTCTCGTCACTAACTCTGTCCTTAGTTCTTTTTCTGTTCAGTCTGTGGAGAACATCGATGGTGGACCCCCAAGGGTGCCCATTCCCTCTTCAGAGCCGTTGCAACAAGGCTACACCTTACCTTCACAGATTGGGAGTGTAGCAAGTGCCTTCCAGCCCACAGGATATGCAACTACAATAACATCCCATGTCAACGTGCAACCTGTTGTTTCACAGACTTTTATTCCCAACAGCCTTAATGGCATCCACCAAGCACCCATGATGCCTCTTGCCACACAGCCTCAACAGCTTGCCTTTTCTAATGCTGGCATCTCTTCTGGCCTGCCTGACTACCACCTGCAGCACTTTCATGCAACATCTCTGCCAATGGTGCCTCCCAGCAGCCAGGCACCTCTAAGCCCCCCTGGTCCTGGAGGGCAAGTCCTTCTGGCTCAGGGTGCAGACGCAGCCTTAGCTCCAGTGGTGACCCCTGTCAGTGTGGCCTCAGGAGCGATGGGCATTACAGTCTCCTCCCCAGTCACCATCCCCTCCCAAAGTGGAATCGTGAGTGTGCCGACCACCATCAGCGCGGCAGAAGATCACAGGCCCAGGTCCGACGTCCTGCCTCTGACCATCTCTACTGTCAAGCCTCACATCCCCGAGGGTCTCAGCCTGACCACTCCTGCTGTCAGCTTGTTTGGCATCGCCATTCCTGTGGATGGAGACGATGACAGGTAAGGGGCACTGGATGGGAAGAAGAACCACTGTTAGTGTATTTAGCCACAACAGTTGTATGTGCTAAAGTATTTTTAAATGATCACTGATGAAAGGGTTAAATATTTGAACGTTTACATCAAGCATTCCCATTTACATTCACAGCTCATATTTACTCGTATTTACACATTTACTACAATATTTTTAGTATTTTATTTGTTTGAGGGTTATAATAGATACCAATTGAAGTGCTACTAGCAGCAACTAAAAAACTAAACAAAATACAGGGTGGATTTTAATTAGGCCTTACAATACTCTAACCAGTGTAAATAAATATTCTCACATTCTTGCTCTTCAAGAACCTATACTCATTGTATTTTTAGAAGCAGGCAAATGACTGTTGTAAAAGTTTCTAAAGAGACTATTTACCATTCCACATGTAGAATGAATGGTATGCCGAAAATATCCGGTCTGTTCTGTTTTTGTTGAAGCCCCTCTTTAGGTCAGGTTTTGTTTCAGATTTTAGTTTAGTTTGTTAGTTTTATATTTAATACAGCATGGTTGAATTGCTAATACAACCTGTTGATTATAGTACCCACATATATGGTCTGATTTTTATTTTTTATTTTTTTGCATGATGCCCGAAACATGCTTTTATCTGGGGATAGTGTGTATTTGCTAACAGTAACAAAGGCCACAATGGTGCTGTGTGCTGGCTGTAACTATGGCGATTTTGGCAGCAGGACAAGACAGGATATGTCAGAGGTGAAGAGGACACACGCAGTCACATGCTCAGGCCAACTCATTTATTTTCTTTCACAATTGGACTAGTTACTTTAGTGACATGTGAAGTTCCAGTTTTTGAGTTCCTAACTTTAAATAGCTTAAAACTGTCACATGATAACTTACTATTGTGTTAACTTCTTATTTACTATGGAGACTGACCTCATTTAAAGGCAATACACCTGATGTTGGCTGTGAAATATAGAACTATTTCATTTTAAATTATTTGCAGTGGGACAAATGTATTCCTCACCTTCCTCATGCACTGAATAATTTAGTTTATAAGTACTTTTCTCAACTTTCTGCGTTTTGCCGTTACAGTAATGCTTTAAGGTTAACAACAACTAGCATGCTAACAAGGTACCAGCCTTACTTCCTGGTTCGTAGGCAATGAAAATGATTTATAATCAGATGCACAAAGAAGTCTTATTTTGACTGTAAGAGCTGGTTTTACAATATATCTGTCATTGAGCAAGACACATTTTTCTGTTTAGTAATACAGCCCTTTAAGCTGACTCCAAACCCACATTTAATTGTACTGTATCCTAGCCGCTAACCATGCCAGGCTTTTATCACTTCCCAAATGAAATCCTTGGTTAGACGTCACTTGCTGTAAATCCAATTGATAGCGCAGTTTGCGGCACACACCCCTTGAAGACATGAAACCGACCTCCCCAGACTTTACTTCTCTTGTTAGCAAGGCTTATGCTGGAATCTACTGTCATTGTATTGTTCTGTTTTGAATTAAAGTACAGCGCAAAAAGTGGAACAAACCCATGTGGGGGTGGGGTTGCAAGATGAGAATGATTTCCTCCCAGCTTGGAATGGTTAGCATCTCCACTCGGCAGCCTGCACCACTGCCAAATCCAGTGATCAGACTGGCCCAGAGACAAATTGCTTTCCCTCAGTAAAATGGTCGTTATTCTTAGTTATTACCACTCTCTGAACAGATTTTCCCCTACTTTAGCTGCAAAACTTCAAACGGTAATTTTACATAGTAATTTACAACTGTCCTAAGCAGCAATTAGGAATAGCTGTTGCTCTGTTGAAGCTGGCTATAGTCCAGTTTTGTTCAAAGTGAGTAGGGTTGTCAAACGTACTGAACATCAGATACTAAAACTAGTATAGATTGTATCCTATTCTGACCAAGAACAAAATACAAAAATTCAAAACAAATCTATATAATCTATATAGCTATATCAGAACCGACTGCAGACAGACCGCATGGTAACTTAAAGTACAGTTATTTTGTGTTGAAAAGTACACTCTGTTGTCTACAAAAGGAGAGAGGATTTTTGATTCTTTGTGGCCTCAAAATCAAGTGTCAAGCCTATTCCTTAGAATTGAAATCAGGTTTTAAATTTTAATATTGTGACAAGACTAATATTGAGTAAGTGATAATATTGGGTCATCAATGCAGGTCATCACACTCCACGGGTTTTACAAAGGAAGGCAGATTTTTTCCCTGTTTGGTTGGATGATTTGTAATGTTTACTCAATTTGGAAAACATTTTAGTAATAGTTTCGGGTTACTGGTGCAACTTTTCTGGTGAAGGGTGCCGTACACGTACTTGTCTCCATGGAGATGTGTTTGCTTTGTCTGGAATGTTCCACGGTATTAAACATGGAGAAAAGCAGCAGCTGCCACCTGGCCATGTTACAGGTTGGATCTGTGCAGAGGCGTCCCCAAAAGCGTATAATAAAACTGATTTTAGATGGGTAAGTATAATGCCATACAGTGGAAATTTCCTGGCCAAGGAATACAGTCGTAATAGAGACAAACGGTACACAGAATCCTACGCGAGAAATGTTAGTGCATCTTTAACTTTTATTTTACCTGCTCAAAACCACAAAAGCCCTGTCTGATCTGCTTGAATCATAACAGATAAGTGACATTTTTGTAAGATACGACACTGTAACGTAGAATTACTGTGTCATATAAAACCTGGGAGAAAACTGATTGCTTGTTAAATGGCAATTGGCACCTGCCTCCCTCAACCAAACCTTACATTAAAAAAATAAATAAATTAACCACAGGCTCCTATTTGAATGTTGTTAGCTGATGTGTAAGTAAGTTGTTGAACCACTATGGTGATCTAAAGCTTTCACAACACAAACAAGCAGGGTTTAAATTGTTTTATATGTTCAAATAAGAACGATCCGGCTATTTATATGTTTAAATACCGAACATCAACCCAGGCTACTTGCATATCCAGTGATCACAGTGATAAATTGAAGTACATTGTTGTTAGGCCTGTCAAGATTACTTCACAGAAATTTTGCGATAAACGATAATATTGAAATTACAATTAAAAATAAAGCAGGATAATCCCAGTGAACCAATTTTTAAATATACATTCTCATAAAAAGGCATAATATAATAAGTAGCAGAATAAACCAATAACAAGCCCTGAAAGTGTCTTTTTAATCTCACTACAGCTCAAATCTTATGAGTTATTACATAAAAAAATATTAGAAATCTTCCCACTATTGCAACAAAAATATACCTATGATAAATATTGAGCCCCAAAGTATATTGCTTAAGCTTTCATGTACCAAAGAATAAATCAGTATTGTAACTATCGTGATAGGCCTGCTTGTGTGGTATTGGAATAGCATATGACTCGAGGTGGGCAATATTCACAAAAATGGGTTATGTCAATAGTTTTTATATAACCATGACGACAGTATTCGGATATTTGAACAATGCATTTGGAGTGTGTTAAAATGCCCTTGTAAATGTCTTGGAAAATGTTCAAGTGTTGCACAAAAAACGAATGGACTGAAAAATTTATCACAAAAGTGCAGACATATGCTGAAATATAGCATTATATCCTTGTTTGGAAGATTGTACTTAGACGTGTCTGTTTATTTGATCATTCATTGTCTCTTTTTGAAATATTTAATAGCTTTCATGCTATATTACACCTTTAGATACAACAAGATTAAATGGGATGACTATTTCAGATGAACAATGTAAATTTCCTTTCGAGGTAGGTCTGTCACGATAACAATCATTGAAGTAGAATTCATAAATTGGTTCAGAGATCTATTGCAATAAACTATAATCTGAAATTATGCCACTGACACAATAAAAAATAAAAAGTAAAGAAGGATATTCCTCAAAAAACATCAGAAATACAGTATCATAAAAAGAATGAACTACAACAAATAAATAATATAAATAACCAATAATTAGTCCTGTAAATAACTTTCTCCTCTCTCTACACCTCAAATCTTAAGGTATTACATAAAAAAATAACAGAAACCTGTGCACTGTTGCAACAAAAATATATAAATATTGAGCCACAAAATATAGTAATTATTGTGACAGGCCCATTTGTAGGTTGAGAAATGTATTTCTGTTTTAGAAGTTCTTTGTTTTACATGACCCTGCACATGCACAGATGTGGTGTCATTCCTCTCTGCATTTTACCCTGTGGCAGTTTCAGTTTAACCCATGCATTGAGACGGGGAGAGTGGATTTTAGGATAATGTATTGTCTTGGCTGTGTGTGGGGGGTTGAATTTTTACCTTTCAGCAGCTTTATTTTTGTTGACTTGTCTTAACTTCTTGGGACACATTCCAGTAGCTCTAAATGGGCAGCAGCTTGTTCAGGCGGGACTTTAGCCACTTTTCATGTTGGATTGAGCTTTGCCCTGCCCTTCTCATAATTACATGCATTTTGATTTAATGATGCCACTAAATCGTCTTTTGGCGTGTGTTTTTAGAGTGGGTATAGTCAAGATGATGATTAATGATTATTAAACTAGTCAACAGTTATTGTAACAAAATGGCTATTCACAATTATTCGGATTAATTGCTACAAGCCTATTGGGCAGTCTACCCGATTCATCTTGTACAACCAATTTTCATTTCACAGTGCCTGCTTTAGTCCATTTGCGAGTACTAAAGGTTCTGTATTACGTAAAATTGACTCTAATGCTGTTACCTCATCAAAAACGTACCTGGAGTTGTGATTTCTTTCATCCACACATATTTGAGTAAACATTTATTATTAATCTGTCTACATCTCCTAAACTCAAAATGCTCTGTTCCACCTTATGATGTCATAGTGGTAGTTTTTAAAAACACAGTGGAGCATTTGACATCACAAGGTGAAACGGGGTGTTTCACAACTCCAGGTATATTTGTGATGACAAACCTAAGATCAGAAAATTGTGTAATATAGTCCATTTGATGACTTAGACAAAACTAAAATGTTACTGTGTTGTGT